TTGCATAATTCAAACTCCTTCAATACTGTGACCTAGTTCCTCCTCTTGATGTTATAAACAGCTCATGTAACTATGGTAACCACCTAGGGAAAACTGAATGTTTTTCTGGTCAGCAATATGCAAAGTATACCATATGTGTTATTTTTTCCTCTCTGAGATAACCAAAGTAGATAATATGTGTCTGCTTTTTCTTCTTGGCTATGGGAATGATAGTTCATGATACTGAATTTTCTCTTTACTACAGTCCCAGTCATTCACAATCCCTTCCATTTTTTGCTGTGATCATCTTGCTGACAGTAGTCGTTCTAAATGCTATAACCCAGAGTGGGATTGACTGCACACACCCAACTTTAAATCTGTGCTACCTCATGAACTAAACGTATAGACCAACACTGCTCATATTTCTAATGTTCCACCTCAAGAATCTGGTTATTTTCTTAACTTAATCTTTTAGTTCTGGCCAAAGTATTTCCTTAAAGCAAAAAAGTAAAGTGGAATTATATCTTGAGGAAATACTTAGAAACCGAAAAGAGGTATCTCCAGTTCATAGTGATTTTTATGCATCTGCTTTTTAGCTCTATTTTCTGTTTTTTTTTTTTTTTAAAGATAATTAGTGTATACTACTTATGCAATAAGGCAATTAAAAATACCTGAAAACCGACCTTGGTGGAGACAGACTATTTGTTTTAGTTGCCTATTGTACTAATGAACTGACTTAAAGTTTTAGGCTTTTTTCTCTACAATTTAAAATGCTTCACTGGATCTTCCAGAACAAATTACACTGCAAACTAATACGAACTCTTAGATTTGTATTGATTTATTTATTTGCATTAGATACAATTATATTTCTACTGTGGGCTATCAATTGGTGACCTTTTAATATGAGGATTTTTGTTTAAAGTGCTTTCCTAGACTTTCCTTACACTTTTAACAGTGCTTTTAAACTACCCAATATCCTCCTTAGAAAAACACTGCTATTTGCTTCACTGAGTTAAATTGGGAATTAACTGCCTCTTACTGGTTCAGAAAAGATCTAACTAAATGCAAGGTGTGGAACTTGTTTGGATTCTGTTAAACCTAGTGTAAAATAATATTAATGAGACAATAGGGAAATTTGGAAATTTTAATGGTCTGAATATTAAATGATAATCTTTTTGATGGGATAATGGAATTGTGGGTGTGTGATTTTTCTTTCTTTTTTTTTAAATTATCTCTTATCCCTCTATATTTAAAGTATTTACAGATAAAATATAACAATGCAGCAAGGGAAAGGAAGTGTGAAAGGCCACAGGTGAAATAATGTTGGCCATATATTTAAATATTTTTTATTTATTTATCTGACAGATCACAAGTAGGCATAGAGGCAGGAAGACAGAGAGAAGGAAGCAGGCTCCCCACCGAGCAGAGAGCCCTATGCGGGGCTCAATCCCAGGACCCTGGGATCATGACCTGAGCCGAAGGCAGAGGCTTTCACCCACTAAGCCACCCAGGTGCCCCAGTGTTTGCCATATATTGATATATGTTCAAGCTCGGTGAATAGTGCATTAGGATTATTATATTATTACCTCTACTCTTCTTTTTCTTTTTAGATTTTTAAAAGATTTTATTTATTTGCCAAAGAGAGAGAGAGAGCAGGAGCAGGGGGAGCAGCAGGCAGAGGCAGAGGGAGCCCAATGTGGGACTCCATCCCAGGACTCTGGGATCATGACCTGAGTTCAAGGCAGATGCTTAACCGACTGAGTCACCCAGGCATCCCTATTACCTCTACTCTTGTGCATGTTTGAAATTTTCCATAATTAAAAAGTTTTGTAAAACACTAAGAGGTAGAAAGAAGAAAAACATTTCAAATTTAATTGGCCTGACTTAAGCAATAACTGAATTTTCTCAGGCGGTATCTTTAGGAATCCTTCAGACTATCTGCTATTTTGTTTTCATTGAGAGTTTGAAGATCTGCCCTTCCCCCTCACAATATAAATAAGGGCTACAAGACATAGGTTTAGAGGCATAAACACTTCCTAACAGCGATCTCTTAAAAGAAACTGATTTTAAAATTACAGGTAACTCCAGACACACCTACTAATTTCGGGGTCACGTATCTTTTTTTTAGAGTTACCTCCTGGTAGGAAATATTTTAAAAAGTAAATAAGATGCCTTTTTGCTTTATCAGAGGATTTAATATCACCAGTTAATTTCTACTTTGCAGAGAACTGGTGACTTTAAAATTTCGCATTGGGTTCGGCAAGGCAATCCAATGCGAAAAGCCTCCAAATGTCCAGTTAAGTGGCTACCGAGAAGAAAAGACCACAATAAATACCCACCAGTAGAGCTGAGTTTGGGGAATATGGTGATTTTTTTTCCCCCCATGTAAGTACTCCCCCCCCACCTCAGTGTGCTTTCATAAATATGGCAGGTATAAGCCATGATTAATTTTATAAGTATAGCAAAAAAAGCACATCTGAAATATTCACACACACCCCCCATATTACAGTGTTCTTACATGTGTACACCAACACAAGCTGAAAAATCACTATTTGGATTTTTTGCTTGCATTCAGCCTGTTCGACAGTTATGAAAGGGGAAAATAATGTATAAAAGATCTCCATTATCATACTCGGCCTCCTTTCCTCTCTTCTTGCTCCAGGTTCCTGGAGGCCACAGTCCTAAGTATTCTGTATCTCGGCTTCCCTTATTGCTAGGTTCTAACCATGTGTCCTATCTGCCTGCAGGTTACTTCTCAGGCTGTGAATAAAATCCATAGGTACATTCAGGGCCTAACCTGAATCAGTAAAAATCGAATCTTGCATTATTTTGGGCTTCCAATAATGACTACTGAAATCAAACCCATTAGTAAACAAAAACAGTAGGAGTCAGGTAAAAACCCACAAAATTCCATTTTTAACAGTGACTGGTTTTTGGACAAAATCTGGCTGTTTAATCTGAAAGACTGTAAGAATGAAAACAATGAAATCCCTACACGGTTCTCCGAAACACACCACACCGTACTACTGCCTCGGTCGATTTAATATTCCAGTAGTCAAAACCACAAAAGTGTCACAGGATAACACTCCCAGACAATCTCCGAGTCCCGTGCAGTATTTTTGCTGTTCCCGCGATGCCGAATTTTCTGGAGGGCTTTGTTTTGGCTTGCAGTTTAAAATTTCCTGTATCAAAGTCTACACTTCTCTTTGCACGTCAATGGTTACTTCTACTGTTCTCAAAAGTGCTCTACATAGGTCACGACACAGGTGTACCACCCCTGTGGAACGAACTGGACAGAAGGAGAAATCCAAGTTAAACACCCACTTACGTTTCCTTTTCAACTCACAGGTACTACTCAGAAGAGGACTCGTTTTCCTAGGCATTCCACTAAAATTCTGCGCGAATTCGTTCTATTTACAGCCATTTCTTTCAAAAACAAATGGGATTACATACTGAGAGTTAGTCTGGCATGAAAATCAGCCCCTCGGCGGAGCGTTTCATTTAACACTACCCAAGAATTAAGCCCTGAAAGTCGATCACATAGATAAGGATGTGGGCCTGATTACTGATTAGGCTTTTATTCTCATTTCCCGTCTTCCCACCACCCAACCCCCAGCGGTTTTCGGTCCTAGGGTAAAAAAGAGATGAAAAGCGGGTGCTGCGCCCCTCTTGACTCTAAGCCCGCGCCGACGTTTAATGCTTAAACGTTCTGACACCCGGAGTGGGTAAAATTCTCCTTAAAGGTTGTGTGTTGGACAAACACATTTCTGGGGCAGAGGGCGACTAAACTAAACGGAGGATTCCTGAAGAGCCGGAAGGTGGCCAAAACCTGCAAGGTACTTCAGCGGCGGGAGACCTCCCGCCCACGGGGAAGGGCGGAAACATACTAAAGCCAAGAGGGAGATTTAAAGGGCGAGCTGACTAAGAGAAAGGAAATGCAGGGGGCCGCGGGAGCACCGCCCACCTCGGCGACCAGCACCCACCCCACACCCCTCCCAGCGCTCCGGGAGGCCGAGAGCCGCCGCGGGAGGCGGGCCGGGGGCCGCGGGCAGCGCTGAGGCGGCGGCCGTGCGAGCCTCGGCGGATCGGCGGGAACACGGCCGCCGAGCATGCCGGGAGCCGCGCCCGCTGCACGCTGGGTCGCGTAGTTCCCGCCGGCCTTACTCCGGGTTGTAGCGAAAAGCGGCCGGCCGCCTGCTGCTCTTTTAAAGCCCCGCGAGTTGCCGCGCCAGATCCACCTGACGGGGAATATGTCGGTAACACCGGGCCGAGGGAGCTGGACCGAGGTTCTCTTTCCCCGTGGGAAAGACGGAAGGAAGGAGCCAGCCACCTTCCCTCTCAAGTCCCATTCAGACATTGAGCAAAGAGGCGGGCTTGACAGTGCTTCTCCTTTAAGAGGGGGCGGGGCGCAGCCTGCCGTTTGGCCGTCCTCCGCACCCTCCCCCCGGGCCGAGAGTTGACAGACCAATCGCCCGGGTGGCGGAGGGAAGGCGGGAGAATGCGAACCCTTCGGTAGGGCGGTAGGGGCGGGCCCCCGGCCTTATTAGGAGTAAGTCCTGCGCAGGCGCAGAGGCGGCCGCAGGCGGAGGGGCGGGGGCAGTCCAGTGAGAGACTCTCCGACAGGCACGGAGGGTGATTGGGAGGAAAGGGGGCAGCGAGGGGCTTGTCATGGGGATCCGTGCTACGTGACGGCATTGGTAGCATCTGGGGACTCCGAGGGGGACAGGAAGTGTCAACGCCCGGGACCCCGGCGCCGGGTTCGCCGGGGGATCCCCGCTGCTCTAGTCTTGGGGAGGGAGGGGAAAAAGGAGGGAGCCCTGATCTCGCCCCGCCCCTGGGCTTGTTACCGCGGGGGCGGGGAGTGAGGGCTTCTTTTGGGGGGAGTGGAGATCGGGGGACTCGGCTGTGCCCTCTTGAGCGGCTGCGGGTGTCCCCGCGGCGCCGGGCTGCCGAGCGGAGGAGCCGCGGCGGCCGTGGCTGTTGCATGTGTGGCTGCTGGATGCGGAGGCGGCGGCGGCGGCGGCGGCGAGGAGCAGCAGCGGCGGCAGGATGTTAGGGCAGCAGCAGCAGCAACTATACTCGTCGGCCGCGCTCCTGACCGGGGAGCGGAGCCGGCTCCTCACCTGCTACGTGCAGGACTACCTCGAGTGTGTGGAGTCGCTGCCCCACGACATGCAGAGGAACGTGTCTGTGCTTCGAGAGCTGGACAACAAATATCAAGGTAGGGGCCCGCGGGGCTGCCCGTGCGGGTCCTCCCCTCAGTCGGATTCGCTGGCCTCCGCGCACTGTCGCTCGGAGCCTGCCCTGGGAAGTGCCACTTTACATTTCTCCGGTGACAGGCTCCCCGAGTGCACGGAGGGGTCTGGTGTGTGGGACGGAGGAGAGGGACCGGAGACCGGGTTCGCGGCCCTCCCTTCCCCCGCTGCGGTCGGCGAGGACTTCTGTGGGGTATCACGGGTGGGGGTGGGGGCCGCTCGTCAGCCCCCGCTGCAGACCCAGCGGCTGCAGCTGGTGTGGAGAGGAATCAGCCATTTTAAGCAGCGTTTGTTCCGGCGCTTGCCTGCCCCGTGCCGCAGACCCTTCTGCCCCAGCGAGGCAGCGTGCAGCGGGCGGAAGGCTGCAGGGAGTGAGCGGCCGGCCGCAGCCGGGCTCCCGTTGGTCTCCGGGGCCCGGCTTTCCCCCCACTCCCCTCTCCGGCCCGCACCCCGAGAGGAGATGCATTGGAACGTGCGGGGGGGGGTGGGGGCAGGAGAGGGCCGCGAAGGCGGACCCGGGAGGTCCCTCCCTCGGCTCTCCGGCTCCCGGCTCGGGAACAGAGTACGTTCCCTTCTCCCGCCCCGGGGAAAGTTCCGGGCCGCAGCCTGTCCCCAGCGCCATCAGCCAAATGGTTAAAAGGGGAGGGGTCCCCGCGGGGAAAGGAAGAGGGGTGTGTGTGTGGCGGGCAGGGCCTCCTGTCCCCGGGGGCGGGGCCTGGGGAGTGACGTAGAACGTGGGAGGGGCGCGGACGGGCGCGCTCCCGCCCGCCTCGGAAATGGCTGGTTGCCGGAAGGTTTGGGCGGAGCTGGCTGCGGGGAAGGCGTAGGATCCTTGCGGAACGTTAGTTCGTGCCTAGCAGAGTCAGTGTTGAGGTTTGGGGCATGTTTTTCGACCCTTTCTCCACCATTCGATCAGGACGAAGAAACGCTCAGCTACTAGGACCACCGCTGACCCTAGCACCTCGTAGGTTCCGGGCCTTGCGTCACTTCCGGGCTCCAGGTGGAAGTGGGTGGTTGACTGGGCAACCGCCTGGCGTCCTTTAACCCATGGGTCCCTCCTTCGCCAAGTTTGAGTGATGAGGCAAAAACCACACTTTGTGGTCGGCCCCAAGAAAACTAAAACAGGGACTCAGGCTTTCCTACAGAGGGTTTCATTTATCATCCACTATTGGTGGGCCTTTCTGGTGCCACTGGGAGGAGAGAAATTTAAGTGTAACGGTTTTGCGTTTAATAAGCCTGATCAAGGCATAGACCTTGGACAGAATGTGGAAACAGCCGTACGGACTTTAAAAAGATAACTTTTTGGATCCCATTCTCTGTTTTTCTAGACCCGTCACTCATCTTATGATTTGGTTTCAAAGGAACCCACTTCTGGGGTGATATCTTCTGGCATGTAGTATGTTAGAGTATTTAAGTGTCTCTGTTTTCGAATCTGTAATTTATTTCTGCCTTCCGAACCCATATGGTAGGGTTGTTGATAGGACTGATCTCTGTTAGAGGGAAAGAGAATTAAATAGTGATTACTTACTGTGTGTCATCGCTGTGTGCCAGGTCCAGAACATTATCTCACAATAATTCTATGAAGTAAAAACATATTTTACAGACAAGTTAAAATTTGCAAGAGTTTAACTGACTTGTTTGATGAGGTGGGGAAGTAGCCTGGCTACTTCATGTGCACATTTTGTTTTTTTTAAACTATTAACTTTTTATAAAAACTTATTTAGTAAAATCTCTCCAAAGGTATTTTCTACAGACCTGGAACACATACATGAATTGTAGCCTAAAAATGATACATATGTGCTGTATATTGAACATTTTTAGTTTTCCAGAGAGTAGCTTTGAAGTTTGTAAAGCTTGCATGGTTTTACATTTCGTGAAAGACATGTATTTGCCTTTACAGTATACAGCTATTTTCATTTGAATTTGGGAGAGAAAATCGGTTACAGGGAAATCTGCCATTTTTACCATCTAGAATTGTCCCAAGTAACTCTAGTAACAGGAGAAACAGAATTAAGCTTTAAAAGATTGAGAGATTATAAACATTTTCAGCTCCATTAAGCTTGGTTAGTTTCAAGATTAATATAAAAGAAGGATCTAGTTTTCAGTCTGTGCCCATGCTTACTCACTAAGCTCCACATGGACAATTTAGCTTTATATACTCGTGTGTTCTTGGTTCAGATTTCATATGCTTTTTCATTTCTTTGCTAGTTCTTAAGTATTTTCTGTTTTCGGATTTAATACTTACTGCAGTATTTAGTGATACAAGTTATACGGGAAATCAAAACAGTTTCTCTCCTGCCTATTTGAGACACTTTCAGAAATTACTGAAGAATTGCTAAAAGTAACCTTAAAAACTTTTAAAACTAAAGAAATGAAGACAATAGTTTCACAAGTGAAAGAAATATTTACTATGGGATATGGTTTTTGGAGAACCTCAGTTTTTGTTCTAATGTTCTTGTTCATAATCTCTTGGGTAAATAACCATTGAACTAAAAATTAATATTTATTTTCAAGTGCCTTCCATGTAGCTTAGTAGAAAGTGCTTCAACAGCGGAATCAGACATACCTATCTGGCAGAGTTCAGAGTCTGGGGTTGTTACCTCTTGAACTTCATTATCTTCACGTATAGAAGTGATAGCTTCCTTGTGGGGTTGCTTGGGGATTAAATGAGAAAATCTTTATCGAATAAAAGTGCTTAGTAAGGGTTTCCTTTTTTCTTTCACTTTGTAATTAAGGAGTCTTAGAAATATGAATTCTTCTCATATATAGTATCAGTGTGCCTATATGATATACTAGCGTCTAACTCCTGATAATTAGGTACAGAATATTTAAAATGAGGTTTACCTTTATATTTTAATTCTCAAATTTTGTGGCTGAGGGGAAAATACAAAGTTATTTTTCCTGGGGAAAAATTATATTCTTAAGAAAACCACTTACATGCCCAGCTGGCCAATGTACTAGATATGAACTTTGTTTTAAAATATGCTGTGCAGGGTGCCTGGGTGGCTCAGTGGGTTAAGCCTCTGCCTTCAGCTCAGGTCATGATCTCAGGGTTCTGGGATGGAAACCCACATTGGGCTCTCTGCTCAGCAGGGAGCCTGCTTCCCCCAACCCTCTCTCTCTGCCTGCCTCTCTGCCTGCTTGTGATCACTGTCAAATAAATAAATAAATAAATAAAATCTTAAAAAAAAATAAATTAAATATGCTGTGCAGGTATGCGTATGCTCAAATGTGTTGGCACTTTGTCCCGTATCCCAGGTTGTCCATCACACGTGAGTACTTATAACTTCTAGGGAGGAATTAATTCTAAGAGTTGTGTTGAAGACCTGCTTTGTGTTAACCGTTCTTGGAGACAGCCCTACTGTATGCATTTTACTTGTCTAACATTTCTTCTGTTATCGTTAGAGTAATAATATTGGAAGGTAGAACGATGGTGTACCACGTGCTGGTAGTACTATTAGAACATAAAACAGTGATATGCCATGCGGTGTGATAAATTGGAGTTAATTTTTGCCTCTCCACCTTTAGTAAGACAATTCTGTTAGATAGCTTTATACCTCATAATGACAAGAAATAGAACAGACTTGAATAAAAAACTGATCTTACATTAATTTTTGGTGACATCTGGAACTATATTTTCAGATTATTGTATACTCTCTAGTGACTCAGATATTTTTAATTGATTTAAATGGGTCCTACATGCTATACAATACCCAAATCATCAGTTCAGAAAGCTTAAAACCAACTGCTGAGTTCTCTGCAAAAGCAGAATGACCCAATGCTGACCTTACCGTAATTTTGTTAGTAGCTTCGTCAGTTGATGCCAGAATCTGAACCTAAACCTACCCTGGAAATAGTTTGGTTTTCAGAATCTCCCATATGATAAAATAAACAAGCTAGTAAGACTAATATGGTGGGAAGAGTTACTTGTGTCTGCTTTGTTCAAGAGTCCAGGGGTATGATATGAAAGTCAAGGTGCAATGTCTCTCTGGAGTCATGTAGCAAGTCATTGATTGAACTGTAAGTCCTGTAAACACAGTTGGATAGGCATCTGTAGCCTGCTTTTAGAACCTCTCTAAGTTTTACAGTTGAAGTCTGGCATGTCAATTTTATCACACTGCTGTTTTGAAGTTCAAATGAAGTATAAGTGACTTTGCGAGGTAGACTATAAAGTGCATATAGTGTTCTTGCCCATGTAAAATATTTTGAGTACTAATTAGTACACACATCTCTTCTTATCCTTTTTAAAAATTTTTTTTAAACATTTTGTCTGTGTACTTGACAGAGAGAGATAGCACAAGCAGGGGGAGCTGCAGGCAGAGAAAAATGGAGAAGTAGGCTCCTCCCCCACCCATCCCAGCAAGGATCCCAATGTGGGGCTCAATCCCAGGACCCTGGGATCATGACCAGAGTCCAAGGCAGATGCTCCACCAACTAAGCCACGCAGACACCACCACCCCCAATTTTTTTTTTTTTTTTTTTTTTTTTTTTTTTTAAGTAAGCTCAGTGCCCAGTGTGGGCTTGAATTCATGATCCTGTGATCAAGAGTCATATGTTCTACCACCTGAGCCAGCCACACCTCTTACCCTTTTTAATACAGACTCATGAGTATTAGAAAGCTTTGTAAAAAAATAAAAAATTTTTAAAAAGAAAGCTTTGTATTCTTAGTATATTTCTAAATATACTTTCATATTGGATGCCATATGATCTTTCTATGGGAAATAATGTTTTTCAATGTATATATACCAAGAGGAGTGTGATTTCATGATTTTGAGTTCATTCAACTTTACCAGTTCTGTGAAAGATAGCTAGCTTAAAAAATATTATATGTGCTAATGCACAAATGTTCTGATTTTTCTCTTACGTTTTTAGAAACATTAAAGGAAATTGATGATGTCTATGAAAAATATAAGAAAGAAGAGGATTCAAACCAGAAGAAACGCCTACAGCAGCATCTGCAGAGAGCATTAATCAATAGTCAAGAATTGGGAGATGAGAAAATTCAGATTGTCACACAGATGCTCGAACTGGTGGAAAATCGGGCCAGGCAAATGGAGTTGCATTCACAGTGTTTTCAAGATCCTGCTGAAGGTGAACGGGCCTCGGATAAGGCGAAGATGGATTCCAGCCAACCGGAAAGATCTTCAAGAAGACCCCGCAGACAGCGAACCAGTGAAAGCCGTGATTTATGTCACATGACGAATGGGATTGAAGACTGTGACGATCAGCCACCTAAAGAAAAGAAATCCAAGTCAGCCAAGAAAAAGAAACGCTCCAAGGCCAAGCAGGAAAGGGAAGCATCGCCTGTTGAGTTTGCAATAGATCCCAATGAACCTACATACTGTTTATGTAACCAAGTGTCTTACGGGGAAATGATCGGATGTGACAATGAACAGTGTCCAATTGAATGGTTTCACTTTTCGTGTGTTTCGCTTACCTATAAACCAAAGGGGAAGTGGTATTGCCCAAAGTGCAGGGGAGATAATGAGAAAACAATGGACAGAAGTACTGACAAGGCAAAAAAGGATAGAAGATCGAGGTAGTAAATGCCATCCACGTTTTAAAAGGTTATTTGTCTTTTATATAATTCTTTCAGAATTTACTTTCGGAAAATGTTTTAGGGTAAATGCATAAGACTATGCAATAATTTTTAATCATTAGTATTAATGGTGTATTAAAAGTTGTTGTACTTTGTCTGTGACCTTAATTTTCTGCACTGAATTACCAAATATTTTAAACCAGGTAGGCTTTAGATCACCTGATGGAAGGAGCAGGGAGTAGGGAGAGCGTGGTGTGGACATTATAAAAGCTTCACAAACCAGGCCTGTTTTCACTTTCATTTAAAACTACAGTGCTGTTTTTTGGGTAAACACCAAAGTTTTGCGAGCATTTTAGTTCTCCAGGCTTTAAACAATGTAGGTACAGTTGGAGTTCTCTGGAAGCCTTCAGATTATCTTGGGTAATTTAAAATACGAACACTACATGTAGAGCTTCTTTCTCCCTAGCCCCATTTATACACACACATGTTCATCTCTAGTCTTCCAGGAGTCCAAGGAGCTAGAGATAAGAGTAATTTGGGATTCCATGTGGAATACTGTGCTCTTACTAGAGTATTTGCTGCTGTATTTTCCTTAGTAGCATTTTGATACACTGTCAGTAGCCCATTTGTAAATGCCTTGCTGCTGCCTCCTAGGGACATTTCATCTAGTGCTTAATAAGGGAGTTTTGTTTTGTTCTAATTGGGACAGGTAAGCATAGTTAGGATCTCAAGAATGGTGCCATTGGCTTCTAGTGGAAAATTCGGGGTTATGTAGTATCATGGTTCAAGGTTGAGCAATTAAAAAAAGGCATCTTATTTAACAACATTTTCCAATGATCCACTGCTGTGATTCCCGGCCACAGGCCTATCAGTGGACAAAATGGCATACACGAGTCTTTAAATACTGCCTTTATGTCAAACAGGAGTTCAGATGGTTTTCTAGTGGCTATAGTTGATTTCTGTCCCAATCAGTGATTATATATTATTTTAAGTAATAGTGTATTCACTTTAACTTTCTGGTATTGGTGCTGTTTGATGTTTTCATGTTTAATGAACTAATTTCATGATAACAATGCAATGAATAATGTATTTGTAAATTGAATTTTCCAAGATTCTGCTATTTTAAGGATAAGCATATTGATGGATATATGAACATCTATTCGGAGAATTTTTTTGGTTTGGGGAGGGGGCATCAGATTAACTAGTCCTTTAAATCCGTGTGTAACATACTTTTTATTCCTCATTTCTCCCTAATCTGATGATCTTGATTCTTTTTGATTAACATGTGAAAAATTCTGTCTGCTTGTTTGGAAAAAAAAAAAAAATTTTTTTTTTCTCTTCTAGCTCTCTGTGTGACTTTTAGGCACGTTATTTCACCTCTGGGGGTCAGATTATTCATCTGTAACATGAGGTTGGCCTAAGTATCTCCAAGGTTCCTTCAAGATCTATAGTATTTGCACTACAGTGGGATTTTAATAATCAGATGACTTGTTTTTCTCTCTTGTTAATTTTGTTCTTCATTCTGAGGCAGGAAAACAGTTTAAAGGTGACCTTTGAGACAGGCACACGCACAATATTTGATTAATTCTGTCCTAAGGATGTTTTGCTTGATGACTGGAACCCGTCGTTGGTTATGTTGCTTCTTGAGCGAGAAGTATCAGACAGCATGATGAAGAATTTATTTTATTGTAACATAGTTGAGTTGTGAAAAAAATTTGTTTTCTCTCTTGAGAATACAGCTTTTTGTCTTAGTGATTACATCCTCGTTACCAGGATAGAGCTATTTACCTGACACCATTAAAAATATCTGTATGTTCACAGTCTCCAAAAGCTTTCACATGTGACTATGTAGAAGTCAACACTTCTTCATACATTAAAGTTCCCTCAGCATGTGAGGAAAAAACAAAACAAACAAAAAACTTCGTAACAGAAGTACCCAAATTTGGATTAGGCTTGATAGGAAAACAGATACAGAAAAACTTGGAAAATGTGCTCTCTTTAAGACCTAATGTTTGAGACAATTCTATTTTTATGAATTTTTTTGTTTGTTTTCTATACCACATGGGAAATAGAAGTCTTAAATTTGCATAAGATTTTGACTAGGATTTCTTTCTTTTTTTTTAAGATTTTATTTACTTATTTGACAGAGAGAAAGAGATCACAAGGAGTAGAGAGGCAGGCAGAGAGAGAGGAGGAAGCAGCAGGTAGCCACCTGCTGAGCAGAGAGCCCGATTCAGGGCTCGATCCCAGGACCCTGAGATCATGACCTGAGCTGAAGGCAGAGGCTTAACCCACTGAGCCACCCAGGCGCCCCTAGGATTTCTTTGTTAAGTGTTCTGGATTTCATATACCGTCTCATACCGTGATTACCAACTCATGCTATAAACCAGTGGCTCCTAAACTTGTCTCCTATTAGAATTACCTCAAAAGCTTCAAGAAATGCAGATACTTATGTCCCACACCCAGCAATTGTGATCTAATTCATTTGGAATGTGGCTGAAACATTAGAATTTTTTTTTAAATCCCCAGGTGATTCTAATCTACAGAAACATTTTTTAGAACTGCCATATTAGGAAAATTTGAGACTCTTGAAAACTGTAGGTGGCTTCTCTACATCCAGATTTTTTTTTTTTTAATTCATTTGACAGACAGAGATCACAAGCAGGCAGAGAGGCAGGCGGAGAGAGAGGGAAGCAGGCTCCCCGCTGAGCAGAGAGTCCGACGCGGGGCTCGATCCCAGGACCCCGAGATCATGACCTGAGCCGAAGGCAGAGGCTTTAACCCACTGAGCCACCCAGGTGCCCCTCTACATCCAGATTTATACGACTCTCTAGCCCTAGAACAACATGCACAAGAAGTTGTCCCTTGTCCCCAGTGGTCTGCCAACACTTGAAGACAACACTTGAGTGCTCCTTGTGTGCTGGGCACCATTCTAACCAGTGGTGGTTTCAAAAGAAAAAGTCCTTGCTCACACACCAGACGTTTTATGGGGAGTCAGAGAAGGTAACATTAGGTAACTATTAGAGGGGAGTAAAGCAGAGTAACAAAATGGATGGGAAGGTAGGTGAGTCTTAATTATGATGATTAAAGAAAGTCTTGAAGGAGGTGATCTTTGAGCTGTACTAGAGGGAAATAAGGAAGTGAGGAAAGCAAAGATTTAAGGGAAAGGAGGAGTAAAACAAGCTTGTCGGTTTGACGAGAGAACTTGACGCTGTGGAAGGCACTAGAAAATAATGACTCTTGAAATCCATGGTAGTAAATTTGGGAAGGGTTTATATTGAAGAGTTTATATTGAAGACTTCTTTGAAGATCACAATATCATGCTGCATGCAAAATGTGTCATAGAGCATCTTGGTGAAAATAAGGAGTATCAGGAGACTCTCTTAGAAGTCTTTGCCCCAGAGATACTGGTAGCTTAGACCAGGGCAGAAGCAGCGGAAATGGTGGCCAGTGGTAGGACTCTGCTTATGTCTTCAAGATCTTGCCAGCGGGAGGATTTTGGCCCAGCGATTCGAAAGCAAAGAGATGATAAGGGTGACCTTAGGTTTTTAGGCTGGAGGGGACAATTCAAGATTTCTGATTGCCTTTGGGTTTGAGATACCTGATTTCTCATGGGGTGCAGCATGGAATTGAGGAAGGGGCAGAAGCCAAACATTGGGGAATTAGCCAATGAATAAGAGTTTAAAGCCACGTGACTGAAATCACTTGTAAACAGATAAGTGCCTCTCAAATTTTAATGTGCCTAAGAGTCACCTGTTTTTGCTAAGATGCAGATTCAGATTCGGTAGGTCTGGTGTGGGACCCGAGATGCTACATTCCTAACAAGCTTTTTCAGCCAGCTGATGCTGCTGGCTCAGGGACCCACGGTCTGAGGCGCAACCCTGTCGTTCCAGAAGAGGGTGGGGTGGGCCCTGGGACCCTCCAGCATTTGGAAGGGGGAGCCAGCAAAGGAAACTTCCAGATCTCTCAGATAAAGCAGAATAATGTGGCACACCACAACAGAAGTGATGCTTTTTGAGAGGGGAATGGCCATTCAAGTGCTGATCCAATAAGATGAGGGCTGAGTTAGCCACTAGGTTGGGGGGTTTTTGGAGTTAACAGGCTCGGAGTTTGGGGATGAAGAACGGCTTGGAGTGGGCTGTGAGCAGAAGAGGGCAGAAGCAGAATCAGCAGTTGCAGACAACTCAGGTTGTGATGTAAAGTGGAGTGTGGACAGAGCGGAGTGTGGGTGAGCTAAGGGAGGATTTTAACTCAAGGAGACCATGTAGCATGGTCATACACAGATTGGAATATTCCATGAGAAGGGGACAGATACATGCTGTCAAGAGAAGTGGCTTATTGCACACGTGAAACCTGACTGGGCAGGTGGGAAGGCGTGAGAACTTGGACTCGTGAAGGCTTCATCTCAGATAGGCACAGGGACAGTCCCGGTTCCTGTGTCAAGAAGGAAGATGCTGTTTTAACTCATTTATGGAAATATTTATTGTACACCGATTACTTACAAGGCACTGTTTTAGGTCCTCGGGAATAAAACAGGGATCAAGACAAGACCCGAATCTTTGTAACCTGGGAGCTTGGGTTCTGGAAGTGAACATGTGTGAATGCAGGTAGCTCCCTAGATCTGGTACTGGGCACAAGAGATTTTCTTTTAACAGCTGCCACTTTCCCCATGAAGGCCTGAGATGGGGAAGAGGGGAAGGGGTGTTGGAAATATCCCTGAGGACAGTGGGAGAGTGGACCAGGAAGTCCGGTCAGAACTGTGGGTCGGCTGGAGTCTTTGGTCATAACTTGTTGCCTGGATGCAAGCAAAGAGACTAAATAACAGAATTTCAAAATATCCCTACAGGGAGCTGGAAAAAACAGCTCCCCTGTCCTTTTTATATGCCCAGTGGGTGGCTTCCTTGGAGGGATCTGTCCTCATTCCCTTGCACCCGAGGTGGAGAAGAACCTCTCTTCAAGGTGCAGTGGGGGGAGAAGTAAGCCAGACCATCCTTCAGCCCTTCCCGAATCAAGTGCTCATAGTCTGATGTCATCGAAAATCTATTTTGAGTAAAGTGTAAGTTATCTTGAAATTACCCTTACTGTGTTGCCTAAACTATACATCAATTACAGAGACCAGAGCTCCTTTATCATATCCTATATGTGAAGGCAGTACAGTACCCTGTCTGAGGATTCCAGAGACCTGGATTTCTCTGGGGTCTCTGCTGGCTGGCGTGTCCTCCTCCTTGGCCTGCAGTTTGTTCAGCTGTAAAACGAGTGATTTAAGATCCAGTTATGCCAAAAATATGGTTATTATTATTCACATCCCTTAGCATTCTTAGGAAAGAGTTCTCGGGGTCACAAACCTACTAATTGTTGAGTTTATGAGATAACGGTGTTTAGTTCACGTACGTGGTAACGGGACTTCCAAACGGGGTTTTTTAAACTTCAGACCCTAGAGTGATCTTGATGGATTTTCTCCATGTCCACACCCCATTCTAATTTTATATTTGAAAGTGTTACTTACTCAAAACTCTTTAAAACAACTCACTTTTTGAGGTCGATTTATTTTGAAAAGAAGGCATATCCCTTTGGTGAGTGGAAAATTGATAATCAATTTGATGGGATTTACTTTAAAATGTAATGAAAACAGAGCAGTGTTTATTAAATTCTAGCTGTGCAGGATTGCTGTGAAAACAGCCTCAAAACTGTTCTCCCCTTTTAAGAAATGTGATTAATAAATACTATTAGGTAAGGGTAAAAAGACATAAGCACCAAGTCAAGTCTTTCTGTGTGATGGAATCAAAAGGATTTAAAGAGAATTTTGAGCACTTCCTTACCACCCTTCTCTGGGAAGCACTTTAAGCAACAGAAGGTTAGCTACTGCTGTTTCTCGACTATCAGTATAAAACAGAAATACAAACAGGTCTTGAAGGCATCTGTGTACCTAGGTGTATGCCCAGAGACTCTGCCTAGTTATAAAGGTTTCTGTAAACAGCCCCCCCCCCCCGACCCCGCCGCCGCCGCCGCCGCCGCCGCCGCCGCCAACACCAAGATACTGACCAGCATTACCCACATCAGTATTTTTTTTTTAAAGATTTTATTTGGGGCGCCTGGGTGGCTCAGTGGGTTAAAGCCTCTGCCTTTGGCTCAGGTCATGATCCCAGCGTCCTGGGATCGAGCCCCTCATCGGGCTCTCTGTTCAGCGGGGAGCCTGCTTCCTCCTCTCTCTCTGCCTGCCCCTCTGCCTACTTGTGATCTCTGTCTGTCAAAAAAAAATATTTTATTTATTGGGGCGCCTGGCTGGCTCAGTGGGTTAAAGCCTCTGCCTTCGGCTCAGGTCATGATCTCAGGGTCCTGGGAT